GAGAGAGAGAGAGAGAGAGAGAAAGTGAGAGAAAGTGTAACTTAGATTTGGGCTCAAAATGTAGCTGTATTATTTAGTATATGTATGGCCTTAATCAAGTTACTTAAGTCTTTGATACCTTATCAGTAAAATTGGATAATGATAATATTTCCTCATTAGGGTTGTGAGAATTAAATCAGAGACTGTGGAAGGCCCTTTAATGTAGTGCTTGTCACATAATACATACCCAGGAAATGTTAGCTATTAGTATTAATAATAAGATAGGTAATCAAACTGGGCAATACAGTTTTACTCATAGGAGATGTGACTATAAAGTGTATACTTATACACATATGCACACTTAATAATGTTTAAAGATCACTGAGACTTTCTTTTTCCCCCCAAGTCATTTTTCCTCAATGTGCTTCAATTTGGGTAGTTTCTGTTGCTTTGTCTTCAAGTCACTGATCTTTCTTCTGCAGTGTCTAATTGCCTTTAATCACACCTGGATAGTTTTCATTTCAGAAATTATGTTTTGCCCTCTTGAAGTTGCACTCAGTTTTATACACACACACACACACACACTCAAAGTAAAACCCTGGATTGCGAGTAACGTTTGCGAGTGTTCTGCAAGATGAACAAACATTTCTAATACATTTTAACATGGTTAAACGAGTGATGTCTTGCAATATGAGTAGTTTGTTTCCGGAACGAATTATGCTCGCAAACCAAGGTATTGATATACATATATATATATATATACACATATACACACACACACACACACACACACACACACACACATACACATACATATGTGGTGTCAAAAAGTATATACACATTTTAAAAAAGGAAAACTATTGGAATTGTAATACTCAATATATAAAATATACCAATAACAAAAGATGAATATAAATCACATTTGACTTCTGCAGTTACAAGAGGTTCTCAGAGTGGTTACCATCAGCGTTTAGACACTTCTGATTATGGCGAACTACTGCTTGAGCAACGTTGACCAAAGTGCCCACTTGTATACGTTTTTTTTGGCACCCCTGGTATATATTTCTTCTCTTGCCCTTGTAATGTTCATGTTTTTCTTTAAATCCTTCAATGTTAGGCATATTTATAATGACTTTTGATGTCCTTTGCTAATTTTGTCACTTCTGTCATTTTTAGGTCTGTTTCTATTGAGTCATCTTTTTCTTGGTTATTGATCACATTTCCCTGCTTCTTTGCATGTTTAGTAACTTTTGATTAGATACTGAACATGGTGAATGTTGTGGATTTGAACA